CGAGAATCAACTTAGAAAAGTAAACCACATTTTTTTCTTCGCTACTCAATAAAGCTAGAATGATAAATATCGCGTATCAAAATTGTATCTTAATAACCATGTAAAATAAATGTTTATCTCGATGAAATTTCTAAAAGTAATGATGTATTAATATATCTGATATTTGATATCTGATCGTTAAACAAAACTTGTTGCTCAAAATATTTATATTATTTTTAACTATCTATATTAACCTTTTTGTTTTTTTTTACTTTGACTCTATTCATCTTTATTGATGTAAAAGGAATTGTCAAGACATAATGTCCGTCAAAATTATTGAATCAATAGATTGTTTTATTGTACAATAGTACGAAGTTTGTTGGTTAAATGAAATAATATTTCAATATATGATATATTTATCTTGTCTGTAATTATTGTTGAATAAATTTCAAATAAAGAAAAATATGTTTATTTAAATAATATTACTTTTCCATTTAAATGATTGATAAGGGCAGGTGATGATGATATCGATTTTTTATTATTTTTTAATTGTAAACAAGAATTTTGATTTTGTTTTCGTAAACGACATAATAGTTTAAATAAAATGTCACAGTTTACATGAGAATTTAGTTGAATTTGAAATGCATCAATACATTGGCAAAAATCCTCTTGAAACAGAATTTTTCTTATAATAAGAATAAAGTTTTATAAATAATATGACAGAATTCATGTAGATAAAATTTCATCATAAAGTACGATATTAACCAAACACAAATAAAAAATTCATTTTTATGCATTTATACGATTGAGTAGTGTTAACTAAATGCTAACTTTCTGCGTCATTTTTTTATATTCATTTTTTTTTCTTGTTTTTTTAACGACGAACTTTCATCACGAAATGGAAGTTTTCAATAGTGTAAAGTGCTGTGGCAAATTTAAGAGAACTAGTGAAATGGTCGTCATTTCTTGAAGAAATATTTTTTTTTCCAGCAAAAACTCTTTTGTACTACCTGATATGAGCTCTAAAAAAGTAATTTTTTGCCTATGATTCATCTTCCAAAATTCTAGATTTGCTACTGCTAAAAATGTAATCTTATATTGATAATCTTAATGTAAAAAACATACTAAGTAGAATAAAACTTAATAAATATTTTTCTTATTTTTCAAATATGTGTGATAAATAATTTAGTCAATTACGATTAATAAAAGTTCATAAATATCTTTTTCGAACTTCTGCTTATGTCAATTGCATAAAAAATGAATCGATTTTACCGATGATTGTAATTTGACCAATCATTCAATGTCCTTACATTTCCATCATCGAAAATAAACTATTAAAATCATTTTTGAAAGTTTGTTCATAATTTAATATTGTCACGTCTCCATAATCAAAAATACATACAACGAAAACATATATTCTATATTGGAAAAAACAAATTATTTAATCATAATTTGATATCGTCACGTTCCCGTCATCAAAAACATATACAGCGAAAACATATGTAATATGTAGGGAGAAAACGAACTATTTACGCATCAGTGAAATGTAATCATAATGATTCGATTTCTCCACCGTCGAAAACATAATCAATGTGGGAAAAAACAGAGTATTTCATCATCATTAAGATTTTGCCCGTCATTACATATTCTCACATTTTCATTAGCGAAAAACACAAAAATACTTTAGAATCAACACAAAAATATAATCATTTTATTGCGATTTTTGAATACAACAACCAAAATACATATATTTCCATCATCAAATAAATTACAAAAAAGAAAACAATCAAATGACATTATTAATAAACAAGTTGTTTTTTTGTATGTTGATAATAAATTTTTGTTTTTTTTTTTGCAAAGTTATAAGATATTACTCTAATACAAACTTGCCACATTAGTGCTGAATTAAATATAATTGGTTGTGGAACAGACAATATATCTATCGCATTTGTTTCATTAGAAATATTTTTAGGTTTCTCTGTAATTATCATAATAGATGTTTGTTCTGAAACTATAGTTTCATCATTCATATTATTATTAGCTTGCTTATCGAGTATTGACTTCTTGTCATTTTCGACTAGAAGGATCGGCAGTATTAGTATTTTTTGTTGTAAAAGTTTAATGACCAATTGTGCAGTTGGAGATAAGAATTGTTGAGTGATAAAACGAAGTATTGTGCATAGTTTTTTGTTTTGAATTAGTTTGAGCACTAGTACGAATTGATGAACTAGGTCGTCATTGTTTTTTTTTCTTCTGATTGAGTTAAAGATGATACTTTCGTATAAGCTGATACATAACGATCTATACGATGATGATGGAATAGTTGAAGTTTTTGAAAATGAACATACTGATGAAGATATTTTCTAACGATTATTTTGCATAGTATTTGATTGAGTTGATACTAGGGTTGTTGTTATCCCAGTCAGTGATTGTTTTGGCTTCTTTTCACCAAGATTGTAGAAAAATAGAAAAAAAAAACGAACAATATGGAATAGAATATATATATATATACAGGGTGACCCACAAGTAAAGTTACTGAAAAAAAATTGAATATCTTCATTATGGCTCGAGCAAACGAACTGATTTTTTTACCAATGAGAGAAGCATATTCAAGCTTTATATTCATAAAGACATCCCTAGAGAGACCCGTTGTTACGTATGTTGGTTTTTTCTCTATCTGTAAAAAAGTAAGAATTTTTTTTGTTGAAGTCAATAGTGATACTTAAAAAAGGTTCTCTCTTGTCTTGTCTTTATGAATATGAAGTGTGAACATACCTTCACTAGCAATAAAAAAATCAGTTCATTTGCTCGAGCCATAATGGAGATATTCAATTTTTTTTTCTTTCAATAACGTTACTTTTGGGTATCCTGTATATATATATATTTGCCTACCTTAATTTCGATTTTACCTTTTGATTTGTCAATAATACTAGCAGCTAGGCGTATTTCTTCACTTTCTAAATTATAATAGATATTAAATCTATGGTAGTCAAATTGTCTTGTACCTATTGGTACTGGAAGGGAAGGAAGTACAGAAGAAGTGTTTCATTGATTTATTGTTGATCACTTGAATGAATTGTGGTCAAATTTTTTTGAAATTTTTATATATGAATATATATAAAAGTATGAATCGATTTAATATATTGTTTGTAAAGAATCTGTCGAAGATCATTGTTAACAAATTCGAGAATATAAATAGATTGTTCGAAAACATGAAGGCATTTAAGTATAATAAGATAAAGATTATCAATCTTATCTATAATTAGTTATAGAAATTTTTTTTTATATCAATCAATATTCCAGTATGAATGTAGAAGTACGTTACAACTGATATTTTTTAAGGAGAAAAAGAACTTTTTCAATTTTTCTAAACAGTGCAGTCCTACATGAGAATGAAAGTGGACGATGACGTCGAAAAAAATACTCTTTCATTCAGAAAATATCAGCTACAATATACTTTTTTATTCATGCTGTAACATCATTTAAGGAATACGCAAAGTTTCCACTTCTGTTTTGATTCATTCATTGCAAGATAAACTAATTGATCAATCATATATGTATCATATACACAAAGAGTACGATGAAGTTTTCAATCTATTTCAAAAGATCATATTCAACACTAAAGTGATATGAAAGACATGTACACATAATATATAAAACAATTCTTTTTTTTATTTTTTGTTTTGTTTTGGACATTACACAGCAAAGCTCAGAACAGAACGAAAAAAAATTATTTTATGTGTTATGTGTACATGTCTTTCATATCACTTTAGTGTTGAAAGTGACCTTTCGAAAAAGATTGAAAACTTCACTGTATTTTTTTGTATAAAATATATAAATGATTGATGAACTAGTTTATTCATTTACATTTCATTAAACAACATTAATATTTTGATTTATTCATACGTCATTCGATAGACTATATTGAGATAAGAAAAGGCCTGAAAGAGTTCGAACTCATAACATATTGGAAAGAAGTGAGAGTCAGGCATTCCGAAAAAAAACAACAATAAAGAGTGTTGACCAGAAATTACGTCTATAGATAGGTTAAATAATTATTTGGTAGTCCTGAAAATTTCAACAAAAATGAACATATCTTTGTAGAGATAATTAATCTCCAAGTGAAATGGATCATTGTGTTCTCTTACAGTAAACAACTATTTTCTTTTAAACTCAATGTCTCAAGAAAGACATGTTCATTCTCGTTGAACCTTTCAGGACTATCTTTAAATCTATCTAAATGCAAAATCTTTGCCTGTACGTCATGAACTCAAACTCTTTTAATCTTTTTCTTATCTCAATATACTCTATCGAATGATATATGAATGAGTCAAAATAGAAATGTACATCTTGAGTACTTTCCTCCTTAGTATGAGATTATGACTGGTGTGATTCTTATTGTTGATTAATTGTTTATGCCTAAAAAAATATTCTAAACAAAGTGAACGAATCTACAATGGAATCCTCTGATTTTGTGAATGCTTCTGTTTCACCATTATTATGTTTTCTCAATGAAGCAGATTGAAAACTCTTCTTTCAAGACTCGAAATTAAGTAATGACAAATGTTAGCGTATTTCTTCAAATACAATTTTTTTGATGCAATATGCGAATTTTTTCTCAACCGTGCAAAATGTCAATTGAAAAATTGAAGCACTAACTGTGTTTCATCCAAATAGCATAAAATAATTTGTCCTCCTTCTTGACTACTCTTAACTTTTCAGTAGGAATCTTATTAAGATAGTTGTGTCCACAGAACAGGATAGGATCTTTATACTTTACCCTAATTTCACTTTTTTTTCATGTGTTTGACATACACAAACTTCAAGATGTATTCACATCACATGACATTCTTTCCGTAAACAAGTACTTAAATGTTTGCATGATTTATGTGCATATTTAAAGCAACTCATATACTGAACTCATGAAAATCATACGAATGAGCACACTTGAAACAATTTAATATAAAACAATAAGAGCTTTTCTGCAAAAGATGAAAGAATACTCCTTGCTATTGAAAGTTATGAGTCCTATATCATTTGATTCAGCTGGGAATATTTGCCTAATGTCTACTTCTGATCTTACTGCTATATCAAATACACCGTCGTCTTGTCTTATTAGTCAATTTATTCTATCTTCTCCAAATTTTTATACTCCTAAACAATTTAAGTAATTCTTATTGGAAAAAAAAATCAAAGATTTCATCTTGAAAATTGCGATTCAAAGAATCTATCGGCGCCTTGAAGACGTGTTTTTTAAAATATGCAAACAGCATTGCTTGTTGAATTCAATTGAAAAATATAATCAAGACAGTGTATCGGTTTTGTAGAGCATACTGAGACAAGGATAGGGGCAGAGTATGAAAAAATTACCCTGTGAATATCTCTAGTGCCTACCCTATATTCTAAATATTCTACTGCTTATGTACAACCTTATATGAGTGTTTAATCTAAAGATTAGCAGTTGTTTTTTTTTTGTTGCTTCACATAACAACATTCTCATGGATATTTTAATAATATTGATATTCTTTAATGGAAAGTAAATAACACAGTCTGTCATTTTAATTTCTTTTCCTTTACATCTAAGATTTCAACAAATACACAATATGGTACGAGAATAACTTCAAAATGTTTTTCATTCATTCATCTATAATTTAATGATAGATGTCGTTCAAAAATCAATACGTACTGAAATCCTAAATAAATATTTCTTAGAATACAAAGATTAATTTTATTTTTTGAATATTGTTTAAAATAATTCATTAATTTATATTCTCATTTCATGAATATCATTCATTAACATCAACGGTTTACAATAAACCAATCGAATAAAACAAAACAATCTATTGTTTCTTTCTTTCTATTTAAAAACAGACGTCTCTCTTTTAAATAATTACCTTGTAACAATGTTGTCAACTTCTTCTATGTTCATTATGGTTTGTCATTAATTTATTTTAAATAAAAATTCTTATATTGTTTTGTTTTTCTTCTCCTTAGCAAAACCCTTCCACGTGAAATAGTTACTATTAATGGACAAGAAACAATAGTTTGCTTGTAAAAAAAAAAAAAAAACTTTTTTTTTTTTCAATTAATATTTTTTATTTTTATATAAAGATCATGTGCAGAAAAAGAATATTCCAATGGAACAATTCCTCATTTATCATTAATTCATTCAAATATAAAATATAACAAAGTTTTAGCATTACTTAATCGAACATTTCGCGCATTATATGAATTAAGTATGTAACAAATAAAAGAAAAATATTCATGTTTATTTCTTTTTTTTTTTTTTATTATTTAAGATGATTTCACTAATGAATCTAAAGATCATATCGAACAAAAAAAGGAAGCTATCAGAGAAGGTGTATCAACATGTTTAAATTTATTACGTCCATCTATTCGTGAAAATCAACAAACAACATCAATAATTGATATGAAAAAAAAGATAATAATTAAGAAAAAAAATCTTAATATACTTCATGATGATAGTGATAATGATGATGCTGCTGATGAAAATAATAAAGAAAATCAATCAAATATTCCTGAATTAGATAATAATCAAATACGACGTAAAACTATTCGTGGTTCAAATTCATCAAAACGATCAATTAGTTTAAAGCAACAAGAAAATGAATCACCTTCAAAACGAACAAAAAAAACTGACGATATTGATGAACCATTACCGATAATTAGTCCATCTATTGTTAAAAAAATTACTCGCACTCAAACAAAAATAGATGCTCATAATGAAGAAAAAAAAACAAAATCAATACGTTTAACACGAGAAGTTCATCAAATAAAACATGATTCAAAATCGATTGAAACAACTAAATTAATAAAACAACGAGAGATAATAAATACTGAAGAAAAAACAAATGTAAGAATTATGTTATTAACAAAATTAAATATTAATCTTTATCTTAGACTAAGGAAAAATCTATTATTAATCCGACAAAATCAATATTATCAAATAAATCGTCGATTGATATACGTAATGATAAAGGTGAATCATTAATACATCAAGCTGTAAAAAAAGCTGATATCATACGTGTTAAACAATTAATTGAAGAAGGACATCCAGTAAATACAATTGATAATAATTCATGGACACCATTGCATGAGGTAAAATTATTTATATCCATTAGGAATAGTAGACAGAATATTTCTATGGAAAGAAAGTAGTCACACATGAAAATAGCTGTCATTGGGGAATAATACTAGAAAGATTGACAATAGAAATAACGTCTACTTCTAGATTCAATGAATGTTTATATACCATATAGTCTCTTTAGAGAGTAGGCAATGAACCAATATGACCTACATGTATGTTTTAAGTATGAAAAACATATAAAAGTTAATTATTAGTTTTACATCTTGCCGCTTTTGAATGATGAAGTTTAATCAATGCTATCGTATTAAATAACATATTTAAACTTTTTCTCTTATCTTATAAAATTAGTGCATTTACATATCATGTATTAAGAACGAAGTTTTACTATTATTTTCTTAGGCCAGTTCTATGGGCGATATTCCATTGATGGAATTATTACTTGCTAATAATGCTAATATTAATGTACAAGGTGGTGAAGAGCAAATGACTGTTTTACATGAAGCTCTGTTAAATGAAAATACGAACGAATGTGTAATTAAATTTTTACTTGAAAATGGAGCTGATCCACATATAAAGTATGTTTACAATTCTTTTAAATAGAAAAATATTTTAATTTTTTTGTATTGAAAAACAAAAAAAGAAATAAAAATGGTAAAACTGCAATTGATCTTGTTACTGAATTAAATAATCCAAATATTTCATTACTTTTCGAAAAAAATCAATGTACAAATCTTACTCATAATGATCTACCAATAGCTCCACCTCCAAGACGACGTATACGAACAATATCATCATCAAATATTCTTTTTTTAACTGGTTTTGACAAAACACGTAAAGAATCATTAATAAAATCTATTCAAACAATATTTGGTCGTAAATGTGTAACAACAACTAAAAATGTTGAAAATAATGGTTCGATATATTTGATTTTTTTTTTGTTCTAATCATTTGTTTAAATAAATTCTTTCGTTTAGTTACTCATGTGATAGCATGTGGTGAAAGTGATAAAATAGCTTTTCGTACAATAAATTATTTACGTGGTATTATTCTTGGCAAATGGATTGTTTCAGAAAAATGTAAAACAATCAGAAAAATTTTATTTCTAATTTGTTTTTTTTTTCGTCTTTATTAGGGATTGAAGAATGTATAAAACAAAAACAATGGATAAATGAAAATGATTATGAAATTCTTGGTTCGCAACTTGAACCTAATTCAAATGGATCACATATTAGTCGAATAAAACATGAACAAAATGTAAATGAAAATAAATATTTAATAAATAATTTTTATTTTTGTTTTTCCTTTTTTTTTTTCAAGGAATCTCTTCTTTTTAATAAATGTCAATTTTATCTTTATGGTCAATTTCATACATATAAAAAAGAAGATATAACTGATTTAATAAAAATAACTGGTGCTATTTTACTTAAACGTGAACCAAAATTACATCGAATTAATAGTGATACTGATTCAAATAATACAAATCAAACAATAATGACATATATTATATATGAATCATCTACACCCGATATACTTCTTGATAATAATCTTATAAAACATATAAAATTACTTGATTTTCTTGCTTGTATAGATTATTATAATATTCATGAACGATTAGATAATTAAATTCAATAATATGTTGATTTTTTATTTCTAGATTAAACGTTTTTTGTTTTTGTAAACAATGTTTACATCAAAAGAATATTCAGGTAAACATCTTTTTTTTTTGTTCTCTCTTTTGAAAAATTTTCAACAAATATAAAATGAGAGAGTTTTGAGTATTGACGGAATAAATTCGACAATATAATAATTTCTTGTCTATTTGTAGATTTAGTCAACAGAGGCAGGCATTAGGAAGTGCTGCATCTCGTGAACGAGTGAGAGAAATAGCATTACGAATGCGATCGACAGTACACACACACACACACACACACATATACACAATTGCGTTTGTAATATATAATATATTTCGTGTTTTGTAACGAGAGGATTTGTATATAGTAATATATGTATTTAATATATAAAATAAAAGAACAAAAAAGAAAAAATCAATCGACGATTGAAGATTTAATTTTAGATGATCAAACGATTATCAGTTTAAAAAATAAAATAAAATGTCGAATGAAACAAACACATTAACCGATACGGTTGTTAAAGATGAAAATAATTCAATGTTAAAAAATGAATCAACAGAAACATCAACTAATGGTATGTTTCATTCAAATGGAAATAATCAAACCGAACAACAACAGCAACAACAACAACAACAACAACAACAAATGGAATCAACAAAAAATACTTATGATAATAATGAACAACAAACATATAATAAAAATGATTTAGAACCAGAATCTCTTCGAAAAGTTTTTATTGGTGGACTTTCATATAAAACTGATGATCAAGTTTTTAAAGATTATTTTTCAAAATTTGGAGATATTGTTGTAAGTATAAACGAATTAGCATTGTTAGAAAAGATATTATTTATAAATTAGCATCATTAAATGTCTGTTGATAGTTAAAATGATGTGTTTTCTATTAGACATGTGTTTTCTATTAGACATGTGCTTTCAAAGATAATCGTGAAGATATGTTGGGTATATAATGACTTTACAGAGATGTTGTTGAAAAGTTTTTATTTTTAAGTTGTCGGCAATTTGAAATTTGAGTAAAACTTTTTTGTCAAGGTTGGATAGAGTGCTCGTCGAGTTACTTTAAAAATGTTGTTTTTCACATATTGAAACGATGTTTTTGTAGTGAAAATTAGGTTAAAAAAATCAGAAAAGCCTATAAAGATTGAAGTATACTAAAAGTATGAAGTCTTCGTAGTCTCAATATTGATGCGAATTTTTTTTTTGATCCTATTACAATTGTATTTTTGAATACTCGTACCTGTGTTTTCCTTAAGGTCGAAATTTGACGCAAATTAGTTTTAAATATTGAGTAGACTATTATATGCAGATTTTTCTCATAGCGTTTTGTTATCATATGGAAAAATCGATTTCTTCAACAATGAATATGTTAAGCACAAAATTTTTTATAGGTAACTAGACGAACTGTATTCGCCCATGACAAAAAAGAAGTTTTGCTTAAATTTCGAAATAAGTTACACATAAAATTTGATTAAATTAATTAAAATTTTTGATGAATTTTTGAAAAATGTAATAGAGAGAAATGATTTCTATTTTTCTTAGGATTGTATTATAATGCGTGATCGTGAAGGTCGATCTCGAGGTAAATATACAGTATTGATTATTTAATATTTATATTTAATTCATTGAAATAGGTTTTGGTTTTGTTACTTATGCCTCATCGACAATGGTCGATCGTTTAATGGCAGCTCGTCCACATGTTCTTGATTCGCGTGAAATTGAACCAAAACGAGCTGTACCAAGAGAAGAAAGTGGAAAACCAGAATCAGCCTTAAGTGCTAAGAAATTATTTGTTGGTGGTATTCGAGAAGGAACAATCAACGAACATGATCTCAATGAATATTTTTCAAAAGTAAATCATAATTAAATAATATAATTATTAAAAGTAAAAAGGCATGTTTTGATTTTAGTATGGTAATATTATTGATGCTGTTATTATGAAAACAAATGAAGGAAAATTACGTGGTTTTGGATTTGTTGAATTTGATGAGTAAGAATTTTTTTTTTATCAAAAAGAAGATTAGATTGTTTTCTTTGTATTTATTTTTTCTTATAGTTATGATCCAGTAGATAAAATTGTATTAGAAAAACATCATGTTATCAAAGGAAATCCTGTTAATGTCGAAAAAGCTTTACCAAAAGATCAAACAAATCGTGGTCGAATGTCTGCAGGAAGCTACGGTGGACAAGGTGGTGGTGGCGGCGGTGGCGGTGGTATGCGTGGACCGTCATCAAGAATGAGCGGTGGATGGGGACCTATGGGTGGTGAATCAAATTTTGGTGGAGGTGGTAGTGGTGGAGGTGGAGGTTACCGATCTGGTGGTGGCGGTGGTGGTGGTGGCGGCTATGGAGCCGGGGGAGATTATAGTAATCGACCTGCACCGTATAGTGGTGGTTATGGTGGTGATATGGGAGGAGGAAGTGGTGGCGGAATGATGGGTTATGGTGGTTCAGCACCTATGGGTGGAGGAGGCGGAGGAGGAGGAGGATATGGAATGGGAGGACCACCTCGAGGTGGATATGATGATGGTAAGCAAAATACTTAGAGAATTAATTTCGTTTTTACAGATATTTTTGTTTAGGTTTTGGAGCCTTTGGCGCACCATCTAGTTTCGGTTTTGGTCAAAATTATGGATCATCACCGGGTGGTGGTCCAATGCGACGTGGAGGTGGTGGTGGTGGCCGAGGAGGAGGAGGTGGCGGTGGTGCACCTTATGGCCGTGGAGGTGGCCGCGGAGGTGGTGGTGGTGGTTATCGTGGCCGTAATTGAAACAATCCAAAGAAAAATGGAACATTTGTTATTCCTGCCCACATCTTTTTCTTGCTGCTATATGTTTCTTTTTTGTGCGTATGTTTGTGTATGTATATATCAATAGCGAACAACAACAAATAGAGAATGGATTTGTTTCTTTCCTTTTTTGACATTATTCCCATATGATGCTCGATGATCTTTTTTAATTCTTCGAGGTCTAATACATATAGCAAAACAAAAACGTTTCTTGTTTGTCTTGTTCATTCATCAGTTTTCTTTTTGTTCAAACATATAATTCTCCTTTGTTGTCTCCATTTGCTGTTGTTATCTATGTCGATGTCATTTTGTTTCTTTTTCTTTTTTTTTGGATAAATAAAAGCATGTTATATGTGACTAACAGCATAGAAAAAAAAAGTTTAATTAATAATCTTTGCTAAAAGATTTTTCTATCCAAAATGATTAGATAATGACAACAATGACAACATGAAAAAGAAAACAAACTACAAGAAGAGTAAAATAATGAAGATATACCCATACAAACAACAGCGCTGATTTTGTGTACATAATTATTATCACTGTTGTGGACCTCGCGCTGTTCGTCATCAAACTTGAGAAGAAAGGACAAGTTCCACACAAAGAAACGAAAAACATGTTAAAGAAAACAAAAAAAAATGAGAAATAATGATCCCCCTGAAATAGATTAAATGAATACGAAGTTTCTACGATATGATTTATCATTATGATAAAATAACGATAAAGAAAAAGAATTTTGTACATATGATTGATGATGAATGTTTATAGATGGTCGTTGTTACCATTGTTTATTTAGACCAGCTGATAAGATGGTTGTTGATCACTTGTCAGTATGATGGTATGAGTCGCTATTACACTACAGGAAAAAAAAATAAAACTTTATGTATGTTATTTCTCATTTTTTTTTATATATTTATTCGAAAAATAACTTTGGTTTTTGATTGTTTTATTCAATAGAATGATCAGATGGAAAATAAAAATGAAATCTTTCATTAACATATATATATATATATGTATATTCTTTATACTTATAATTATATAGCATCCTACGAATAATAAAATTAGAAATATATGTCTTCAAAAATACCTTTAATCTTGATAAATTAAACTTCTTTCTTCCATTTGTTTAACATTACATATCAATATTCATTCTCTAAACTATCTATATATTATCATCGATAATATCCATTCATGTCTTTATTTCCACACATTTACATACTTCTCCATGAACTACATAACAAACGACTGACCAGTTCATCGGCGTCATTCTCTGACTTTATTTTTTCTTTCTTTCTTTCTTTTTATTACTCAAAAAAGAAAAAAAGAAAAGAAAAGAAAACTTTTTCTCTTTCTCGTTCACTTGCATCGTCACCGCTATATATATATATATTTGCATTGATGTCTGGTCTATGTATCCGCAAGAGAATGACCGAGTATTGGTTGTTGGTCAATTGACGAAGAATTATCAAATAATACTATCGAAGAGAAAGAAGAAGAAAAAAAAATTCAATCCACACAGGAAGCAACTACCAATGTTGATGGCTTGTCGATGTGCACATGAATGAGTGCACATATGTCTAGACAGACCACTCTTCTAACCTATTTAGTAGTCGCCGCTATTGTGAGACAGAGCGAAAGGACTACTAATGAATGTAGACATATATATGTGTATATATATATATATATATGTATGTACAATGAGAAATGTGTGAAAAGAATGAAAATATAACAAAACCGATGAGTTTAATAGATGAATAATGCAAATTTCTATTATCAACAATTGAGTATACACGCGTTTGTTATTAGTCTATTGAGACAAAGTTAAAAAGTATAAATGGAATCATTTTATTTTCTTATATATATATATATATATATGACACTAATTAAACAATGTTATCATATGTAAACAATATTTAATCTTTAGATCTTAATAGAAACTGTGATTTAATTATACTGTATAAATTATTCATACTGTACAATATAAAAATATATGATTGATGATAGAAGATACACTTATTTTTTAATTATCATAAAGATGAACAGTTTAAATCTATAATATATCCGCATATTTATTTTTATTATTATTATTATTATTATATACATTATATTGATGTTTACTCGAGCGAAAATTTCATACTCAATATAATTCAATTTATTGATGAGAATAAACATTTAACATGATACTAAATGAA